AGAAGATAACAAAGGCTCAATAGCTGTATGCATATGATTATATAAAATAATACTTATCGAAATAAACTCCAAAAATTGGAAGGAAGAGGGTTTTTATTGTGCTGTTTGTAGTTCTATTTTTTTCTTTCACTTTTTCTTTTTTTGGGGGAGGTTCGGTCATGGGGCTTGAACTCTGGACCTGGGTGCTGTCCCTCAGCTCTTCAGCTCAAGGCTAGCGCTCTTCCACTTGAGCCACAGCACCCCTTTTCGGCTTTCTTTCTTTTTACTTATGTGGTGCTGAGGAATCTAACCCAGGGCCTCATGCATGCAAGGCAAACGCTCTACCACTGAGCCACCTTCCCAGCCCCTCATTTTTTTCTTTGACTTTTCCCCCTCTGTCCCTGTTTTGTCGATTTTCAGAGGGGAAGAGGAAGCACAGAAATGGTGGGACAAAAGGTGAACCAATTCAGCAGTAAAACCCACTAGACATTATGTTGGAGGTGAACTATACAACTTAATGGGGAAGGGAAGTTGGTGGGGGAAAAACTGGGAGAGAATGAGGGAGAGGATGACTCTGTTCAAAAGGAAATATACTCATTACCTGACTTATGAAACCGTAATCCCTTTGTACACCATCTCTATTATAAAATTTTAAAAATTAGTAGAGGTGGAAATGTCAAAGAAAGCATTTTTATAAAATATAAGGCTGCCCTTTTTCTTATTATGCTTATTTCTGAGTTAAAATCATAATTTAAAACTAATATATAGTATTACACTTCCAGATATTGTCAGACTTTCATATGTACTCACTTAATTTTCTTTATAAAATATAAAATTAGTATAGATCAAAAGAAGCATGCTTGACCTGCTCTACTAAAGCAGTAGTCAGAATCCTTAATACTATTAACTATTAATGATTTGAATAAAATAAAATGTGGCAATCACAAAAATGAAATTTTTCAGTTGTCTCAGAGCTTCAATTTTATAAAGCAATTAACATTTGTGAAATGCACTAAATATAATACTATAGCATACACTTTATGTTTAATATGTTTCCTATGTCAACTTTGAAAAGGTTAGGTCATCCCAAAGTGAAGAGTCATGTTTATAAAAAATGATTAAAATGCCTGAAACATTAACCTTTATCCTCATCTTCACCTAGAAAAATGTAGAGAAAGGTAGCAAATATCAAAAATAGAGCTCACTCTTCCTCTTCAGACTGTAGCAAGACACCTATGGTTCAAGTTGGTAATTAGCAGGGAAATTTATTTCTTTATAAAAGTGCTAAACACATAAGTGTACTATTGCAAAATATGGTGTTAAATACATTGATTTTACTTGCTAAATTTTCTCAAAAATAATTACTTAGATACTGTCACACATACAAAAATAGAAAGCAACTGACAACATATAGATACTCTTCTATCTTAAAAACTGACTTAAAAATTTTTAGGTTCATATGGAGAACAACATGACATATATTAAGTTATGAACAGTCTGAATTAGGTGTTAAAAAGCACAGTATTAGTTTGATAATATATGTACACGCCATAGATAATACTCAATTACAATATATATGATATTATATATACACAAATCTAATAGGAACATACATATATGTTGCATGTACCTCATGCCCACAGTTGCACATATCACGTGAAGCTAATGCATGTGATATATATGTGTTCTAATATTAATTAATGAGTATTTCTGTGTATCTGTATACTTTTTGGAAAATAAAAGTTTTCTCCAAAGAAATCTACTAGTTTCAAATATTCATAAGGGCATCATATGCATAGCATTGTCTTTAAAAGACAATTTCAAACTGTTACAGGAAAGATTGCAAATAAGTACATTCATTCACATGCTTTTTTCTGTTTCTGATATCACCAAGAAAGAGTGTCAACATATGTGCATCGCATATTTTCACTTATATGTTATAAAAATCTATTTTCAATATATTTTATTTATTTGAACAATTGCCAATATTTTATGATTCTGATTTCTTTCATTCTCAGTATTACATATTACAGATTTACCTACAATATATAAACACAAAGATGCAAATATATTTCATTAACAAATGTTATATTTTAACTACTATATCAATTTGACTATTGAAAATATATGGAATGTACACATTGATTGCAATAGTATGTAGCTATATTAACTCCATTTATTATTAAACAATTATTCTTCCATGTAGTGTCTTTGGGTGTACTTTCTTAATTTATTGTTATTATAAAAGTGATGTACAGAGGGGTTATATAAATCCAGTAATGAGTACATTTCTTTTGGGTTAGTGTCACTACTGCCCTTGCTTTCTTCCAGTTTTTATCTCTCGCCCCCACCCCCTGCAAGTTGTATAGTTCATTTTCAACATAGTGTCCAGTGAGTAGTACTGCTGCATTTGTTCATCATTGGTCCTACAATTTTTGTGCCCACCATACCCTCCCCAAACAGGTAAACTTACACACAAGACAAAAGGTACAGAAAATAAAGACAGTGATTCAGTAGGAAAAAACCACTCTTGTTTGCATTTCTTGGAGTTCATGTCAATAAATATTTTATATGAGCATATGTGCATAGGTATTGAACCTGTGTGATGGTCTCCTGAGAGTATCCTCTTTGTATTTCACTGTGTGAATGCCTAGAGTCCTGTACAATGTATCAGGTCCAAGTGTATATTTTGTCTTTTACTATCCAGGATGTTTATTTCTAGATTTATAGGCACAGTCTAGTTACAACAAATGCAGGAAACAATGCAAACTATGCTTCTTTGGGTCTAGCTTACTTCACTTAAGGTAATTGTTTCAAAGTTTATCCAATTCCTTATGAATGAAATATCATTCATGTAAAATTTCCATTAGATTTCTGTATCTATATAGCTATATAAACATAGATATATAGATATAGGTATATAAATATATACAGAGATATATATCTATATCTCTATATATTTATATATGTATCTAGTTATATATCTATATATGTATCTATATATCTGTATACATAAAATTTCTGTATCTATGTATTTATAAAAATATCTAATATCTATATCTGTATCTATATATACAGCTCTATGTCCATCTCTATCTTTCTATATGTATCTATCTGTCTGTCTATCTATTTACATAGCTATTGTCTCTCAAAAAGTAGAAAGCAATTGATATATATCTAGATCTATATCTGAATCTATTGATCTATGTAAATAGATACAGATAAAGATGCCATATTTTCTTGATCCATTCATCCATTAAGGGACATATGTGTTGAATCACTATCTTTGTTATGGAAAACAATGGTGCAGTGGACATCATTGCACTGGTAGCTTTAGAGATGCCTTGTTTGTGGTCAATTGGATGAATTCCCAAGAGTAGAATTGAAGGGGCATAGAGTAATTCTAAAGTTAATCATTTGAAGAACATCCATATTGCTTTCTAACTGGTTGAACAAGTTCACATTACCACCAATAGTGTAGTAACATTTCCTTTTGGCAGCACCCCCAACAGCATCTGTAATTGTTAGTTTTCTTGGTAATGGCCTTTCAAAATGGGGTGAGGTGGAATCTCAATGTTGTTTTGCTTTGCATTGCTTTTATGGCCATTTCTTCCTGTGTCTATTAGCCATTTTTCTTATGAAAGTTCTCTCCAAAATTTTAGCCAATTTAGCAATTGGGTTGTTGTTTCTTTAAGGGTTTATTTGGAGGGGTAATTATTGAGCTTTTAGTATATTTTAATTATGAGGACTTGTTTGCTGTGAAGACCTTCTCCCAGCCTGTGGGTTTTGAATTTATCTTTCATTCTATGACTTTTGCATTGTACAAACTCTTCAATTTGATCAAACTCCATTTATCCATTTTTTAATTTTTTATGCTTCTGGCTATTTACATAGAAGGTTTTGATGCAAGCCTAGGAACCCTAGTGTTTCCCCTACCCCTTTCTGTAATATTGTTATGGTATCTCACCCTACATTGAGAACTTTGATCCATTTAGGGTTCATTCTGGTACAAAGTGATATATAAAAATCTAGCTTAATTTTCTCCAATCTAGCTTAATTTTCTCCATGTGGATAGCCAATTTTCCCAGCACCATTTGTTTAAGGGGTTGCCTGTCTTCCATCCTATGTTTTTGGCATACTTATCAAATATTATCTGGTTATACATCTGTGGGTTCATTTTTGAGTCTTCTGTTATGCTCCATTTGTCATCAGGCCTATTCTTGTGCCAGTACCAGGCTGCTTTTATTACTATGGATTGGTGATAGAGTTTGAAGTTTGGTATTGATATTCTGCCAACACTGTTCTTCCTGCTAAGAATTGTTTTGGCAAGTTATGTGTCTTTTCTTATTTCATATGAACTTATGGATTGCTTCCCCTATATCATAGAAGAATGTTTTGGGGATTTTAATTGATATTGCATTGTATTTGTAAATAGCTTTGGGAAACATTGCTCTTTTCATGATGTTAACATGTCCAATCCAGAAGAATGGAAGGTTTTTCCATTTCCTTAAATCTACTATGATTTATTTTTTTCAGATTTTTAAAGTTTTCATAATAGAGGTCATTCACATCTTTGTTTAATTCTTAAGTATTTTTGAGACTATTACAAATGAAGTTGTTTACCGGATTTCAGTCTTGACAAAAGTACAAATTTTCAGGTACACATTTAGAAGCTAGGTATAGCAGATGGCTATAAATGACTGTTCCCATTTATTTTTTAACTCATTTCCTTCATACTTAAAGTAAAACTTCTACCTTGGCACTTTAAAGTGAGTTTATTTGTGCTGCTGTGGTGTAACTGTGCCAAGAAGGTAGAAATAAATCCATGAAATCAGAGATGAAACCTTAAATTTAATGCAACCGCAAAAAGAAGGAAAACAGTGGTGTCTGAGGAGAATATCAAATATTCATGGATTCCATAACTATCTTATATGCACAGCATGCAGAGTTTCATTAATAAGTCACAAGAAACAGTAAGCATCCATCAGCAAGTTTATGATTGTCCACTGATGTACACTTACCCTGTCGAGGGCTGCTTTCTCCAATTCATTTTTGGCTATAGCTAGTTTTTGTTCCAGGTCAGTCAGTTGTTGGGCCTGCAATATGGAAAAAAATAACAATCACCAGTAAATTCTACAACCTTGGACTATACTTTTATCATTTATCATTTATTGATAATTAAACACAGAAAAAAACTGTAGGTATCATTTAGAATTCAAAATAAACTACAATATCCCAAGATCCTTTTCTGTAGGGAAGAAATTGTGTGTTCTGAATGAATGTTTTATTGGTCCAAAGTCTTTTTTTCACTGAAGTTCAACCCTAGTGTTTGAAAACATTTGTTATGATATCCAGTTATGTTATTATATCCTGCTATTATATCCAATAATGTTCATATTGGAATTGAACTTAAGCATGTCCCCCTCAAAGCCATGAACAAATTCACATGTTGAAGCCCAGAATTATATTAGCATTAATAAAGTCTAAAGTAGCTAATAAGGTGACAGAGAAATTAGGGATGTCGTTCAGTGATAATAATGTTAAAATGTGCATCACTTTTAAAGTAACCTTCTTCTTTTAAGGACAGGAATGAATGTAATATTCCTCTGTCTTAGAAATTTAATATGAATTATAGATATAGCACCTATATCAGCTTGTGCATTTATTCATTATTCTATTCCTCAATTTATCTTTTCAGTTATCTCTATACCTTTATAGTCCCTCATGCTGTGCTATAACCTGGAATTTTCAGAGATTTTGAAAAGTTCTTTCTTATAAATTGAAATTTTGTTTTTAAGCTCTAGGTTATTATGCTTTAAATTACTTTAATTTGCTTAATGAGTTCTATCAACTAACTGATTATCAGAATAAATTCAATCATTTCAAAGTATAAAAATAACTGTATTTAGGGAAGTTTAACCCATATAAACAACTCTGAGCTGCAGTAAGTGTATAATAAAGGAAAAGTCTCAGTTCTCAGAGGCAAAAATATTTATATATAAATTTAGATAAGATCTAAGTTTTATAGATTATATAGGAGGTTTTAATTACCTATTATCTATTCTATTATTTTAACATATAATCACTGCATTTTAAATTTATATATGAGCATGTAATATGATCTTGACAGTATTATCAAGAAAATAAAGAAGAACCACTAGAAAAGGCACAAGTTTACATAGATTAACTCATATCATAGAACATCTTTTTCTGTATGTATCCATATTGTTGGTCATGTGAGTAACAGATTTTTTTCCCTTCATTAAAATACTTGCATTCTTATTGATTTTTTTTTCTTGTGAGTTGCAAAGAGGATGAAAAAAAATCCTTCACAAACAGTTTTGCTCTTCTGATGTGACACTATGAAATGCATGAGTGAACTAACTCTGGAGTGGAACTGCCTCAGAGAAGTTCTTGTGGATAAGCTTAGGTCAGAGTAAACCTACTTGTACATAAAGGACCCTGCGGGAATATACAAGGTAAGTCAAGATGATTAATTCCCAGCCTATCTAACTATCACAAGTAATAGTTGCTTTCAGACTCTGACTTTAGGTTGTTTTACAACAAATGTTAATTCATTTAGAAAATGTCATTTTTTTAAAATTTGATTAACTTTGGCCAAAAACTAAATAACATAAGTAAATTTTGCTTAGTACTTTTTAAAACTATGTAAGATGAATAATTCTTGTGCTTGTAAGTTTAAAACTAGGCCAGTGTATAAAGATCATATTGACAATAGAACAGATATGATAAGAGATATACTTAAGTACTTAAGAACTGGAATTGGAGAACTGTCTTTATCTCTTTTTTCTCTTAATATATATTTTTATTGTAAAGATACTGTTTAATATCTTGAAAAAGTATTTAGTTTCTGAATGTTTCACTTTCCTGTTGAGCAGATCTGATTATAATACTAACATTTGCCTTATAGGATTGATGATTAAGATTATATAAGTTAGCAGTTATAAATATGTAGAGAAGCATGAGACCCATAATGCTATCTCAATACTTGATAACCTGTTTTATTTCCCTATTGTCTATACATCTTTAAAAGAACCAGTATAGCAACTGAAGAAACTAATATTGGGTCATAAACTTTGTGGATCTGATAAAAACCAACAAAAAGTAAAGCATAGAGGTTTACAAATGTGTAAAGAAAAGTAATCAAAGTAATTACAACAATTACTGGTATCATCATTCTGTAATACTTTGGTGCTGGGTTGGAAAAAAAAATTGAAAGACCAGAACTTAACCAAAGAGCAATGAAAGATACAGAGAACTTAACCAAATTGTGAGTTGTGTTTATGAAGAGATTGTTTCAAGATTGGGACACATCACTTGCACACAAAGGCCAAAATATACATGTAGTAAACAAATAAGTTCAAAGTTTCCTTGTGATATTCTATTGTCTTAATCAAAGGTGATTTTAACTAGAGAAAAGAGGCATTCCCAGTGTTGTGTGAAAAGTAAAATTGCCCTCTTCTAATTAAAGTACTCACATGTAGCTAAGACAATCATTTTCTCATTTGAGATTTGAAGCATGATCCTAAAGTTCATATTGTATCATATCGTAACCTCACCTACCATTCTTATTTATTTTTATTAATTGATTGATTTTCATTTTGGGTGCTTGTATTTGGGCTTAAGCTCAGGGCCTCACACTCTTTCATAGATTTGTCAATAAAGGCTGGTATTCTAGCACTTAAGTTTTCCTCCACTTTTTGATGATAATGTGGAGGCCTGAGTCTCATGGATATATTTTGCCTGAACTGACTTTGAATTGGAATCCTTAGGTCTCAGTCTCCATAGTAGTTAAGGTTCCAGTTATGAGACAATAGTGCTTGTAATCATATAATTCTTAATGTAATTTACTAAAAAGAATGAAACTTGAGAACTTTGAGGATTTTTTAATCTCCCTCAGAGTTCATAAATCTCGAGTTTTGTTTGATTCTATGCTCCATAACTTCAAACTAAATGGCCTCAAAGCTCCTTTTTTCTGCTATAGTATTGTTATTATTTGTTTCAACTGTTTTACTTTGTTTATTTATAACAATTGAGTTTAAATTCAACTAGACTGTTAAGAATAGCCTATTGGTTTGTTCAATGAAAAAGTATTCTTTTGGTTTTACCCTCCTAAGGAAATAATGCTACAACTATTGGATGTAGCAAAAAATGATAAAGTATACAAAGATATCTAAATATTTTTAAAAAATTTTATTGTCAAGGTGATGTAGAGAGGTGTTATATTTACATAAGTAAGCTAGTGATTACATTTCTTTTCTAAATTGTGGGTGCCTTTCCTTCATTTTTCTCCCTCTTTCCCTCTTCCCATCCCCCCAAGTTTGTACAGATTATTTCCAACATATTGCCTTGTGAGTACTGCTGTTGCATAAGTTCCCCTTTATCCTTTGTCCTTTGTCTTACCATTTTGTTTTTCCTTTTCCATCCCTAATTCAGATAAATGTATATACAATACCCAGGGTACCAAAATTAAATACAGTGACAACAGCGGATAAATCACAGAGGTAAAAATCACAAAAGAAAAAAAGAAATCATGTAGTACATTGAGAAAAACAACAAAGAAAACAGTTATTATGTCCATGTCATGTAGTTCATTTCAGTTAGTATTAACTTATGTGATCATTTGTACATAGCTATTGAGTTATTCTGCTCATCTGCTAAAATTATTCTAGATGTATACTAATTATTACAAGTAAAGGAGACCTTGGGATCTATGTTACTTTAGGTCTCGTTTACTTCACTCAATATGGTTTTTTCCAAGTCCTTAAATATCTTTTCTTATTATTAAGTTTTTTTAATTGGGAAAATACTGTACATAAGGGTTACAATTACATGAGCAAGGTAATGAGTACATTTCTTATCAAGAATTGTTGCTTCCTCCTTTATTTTTCTCTTGCCATCCCTGCCCTCCCATCTCCATAATTACAGTCCTCTCACAGCCATCCTCCTTTCCCCCACAAAATTGTAAAGTTTGTTTTTCCTTGTAGCATCATTGTTGCAATGGGTCCGCCTATATTCCTCTTTAAACAATTTGTTTTTTCCATTCCCCTCCACAAATTATACCAACATCCAATACAGTGAAAACAGAGGTTATACTTTGGGGGAGGACATACAAAGCAACAAAATATCATCTTATGAATATGTTAGAAACAATACCAAGAAAGAAAAACAAATTGAGTCCTTATCTTGGGGTTCATTTTGCCTAACATAAACTTATCTTACTGTTTCTGCTTGTCTCATACATATACTAGTTATTGCACATAAAGGAAACGTTTCTTTGGGCCTGGCTTACTTCACTTAATATAATTTTTTCCAAGCCTTTGCATTTCCTAGCAAATGGGACAATGCCATTCTTTCTGATGGAGGCATAGAATTCCATTGTGTATATATACCACATTTTCTTGATCCATTCATCTATTGAGGGGCATCTGAGTTGGTTCCATATCTTAGCTGTGGTAAATAATGCTGCAATAAACGTAGTCATTCTGGTAGCTTTAGTATGGTCTTGTTAGTGATTATTCGGGTAAACACCCAAAAGTGGGATTGCTGGGTCATAGGGGAGCTCTATGTGGAGTCTTTTGAGGAACCTCCATGCTACTTTCCAAAGTAGTTGAACAAGTTTACACTCCCACCAACAATACAGTAGAGCTCCCTTCTAGCCACATCCCCTCCAGCATCTGTTGTTATAAGTTCTTGATTATAGCCATTCTATCTGGGGTGAGGTGGTATCTCAGTGTTATTTTGATTTGCATTTCTTTCTTGTTTATTGTGAGAATACCATACAGAGGAGTTACAATTACATGGGCAAATAATAAGTATATTTCTTATCAAGCATTGTTGCCTCCTCTTTGTTTCCCCTTCCCATCCCTTCCACCCACTGCCCCCCACCCAATATGCCCCCTCCCCCAAAATTAGAAAGTTTGTTTTTTGACATAACGACTTGTACATTTCTTTTATGGCTAGAGAGGTTGAGCATTTCTTCATGTGTCTATTGGCCATCCTTCTTTCCTCTTCAGAGAAGTATCTCTTTAAGTCTTTAGCCCATTTATTTATTGGGTAGTTGTTTCTTTGAGGA